TTTGCATTTGTGTTTACCTGCGGACAGATGTGGAGGGGAATATATTCAGATGATCATGACCACTCACTCACCATCCAGACAAAATTACCTAATCACATCTTTTAAATAGGAGCATCTATATGTCATCATTGCAACATACACCTTCTTTATCTGTTTGGATATGAATCTCCCATAAGATATATGTTTGGGAAACATTCTCCTGGTGTCTGTGCTGTCTTCTCATCTTCTTGATGTGTTGTTTTGAAATACACTTTTGTGGCCTGGTAAGGCTGCTCCCTCCTCAGGGAGAGGTGATCAAAGATCAGGCCAATCAGTTCATGTCAGAGACAGTCCCTGTTCCCATTACTATGGAACCTACTTGGACACTGAACTGTCATGGGCTACATCTGTGCAAGGGCTCTGGGTTATCTCCATGCATGCTACTTGGGTGGAGTATGAGTCTCAGGAAAGACCCATGTGCCCAGATTTTTGGATCTGTTGCTCTCCTTGTGGAGCTCCTGTCCCCTCCAGGTCTTATTAACTCCCACTTCTTTCATAAGATTCCCTGCAATTTCCTTAAAGTTTGGTCATAAGTCTCAGCATCTGCTTTGATAGTCTGCAGGGCAGAGCCTTTCAGAGGCCCTCTGTGGCAGGCTCCTAATTTGCTTCCTGTTTTCTCTTTCTTCTGATGTCCATCCTCTTTGCCTTTCTGGGTGGGGATTGGGATTTTAGCCCGAGTTCTCCCTCTTGATTAGTTTCTTTAGGTATACAGATTTTAGTAGGTTTATCCTATATTATATGTCTATATATGAGTGAGTATATACCGTGTGTGTTTTTCTGCTTCTGCGATAGCTCACTCAGGATGATCTTTTCCAGTTCCCAACATTTACCTGCAAATTTCATGATTTCCTTGTTTTTTATTGCTGAGTAGTATTCCATTGTATAGATGTGCCATACTCTCTGTATCCATTCCTCAGTTGAGGGGCATCTTGGTTGTTTCCAGCTTCTTGCTATTACAAATAAAGCTGCCAGGCCACAGAGGAAGACAATGCAGCCACTCCTGATGAGACCTAACAGAATAGGATCAGAAGGAAAGAAAAGAAGACCTCTCCTACCAGTGGACTTTGGGGAGGGGCATGCGTGGAGAAGAAGAAGGAAAGGAGGGATTGGGAAGGGAGGAGGGAGGGAACTACAGGGGGGATACAAAGTAAATAAAGTGTAATTAATAAAAAAATTTTAAATTAAAAAAACTTAAAAAAAGAAATACACTTTTATTTTTTTACACTTTTAAAACTCAGGTAAAATAAAATTTATTTGTTCGTTTTTAATAAACTTTCTATTTTCTAATTGAAGGTAACTATAGTTGCATGTATTTTTTTTAATTTGTATAGTTTTACATCTTACATCTAGCTCTATAAAATAACTTGAACTATATTTATATGAGATAGATAGATGATAGATAGATAGATAGATAGATAGATAGATAGATAGATAGATAGAACAACAGTAATATTGTATGTGTGAAAAAACAGTTTTCCATCACCATCCTTTTAAAAGATGTGTTTTTTTTTTTTTCTTTCAGTGAAAAACACTCTGGGAATTGGGTTTTTGTCTTTCTCCAAGCTCATATGCTCCCACTGATGGTTTCTGCTTGTTTATCAAGGATGTCATGGAGCTAAGGAGACAAGGCATGGATATATATTAAAACAATTTTTTTTTCTTTTTTTTGTTCATTCTGTTTTGTTTCTGTGTGTAGCCTTGACTGTCCTGAACTAGCTTTGTAGACTAGGCTAGCCTTAAACTCACAGACATAAGCCTACTTTTGGCTCCCTGCGTGCTTGGGATTACAGGAATGTACACCATGCCAGGCTTCTTTTTCTGTTCTTAACAGGCCAGCCTGTCTGGGTGAATAAATGAGCTCCGGTTTGAGTAACAAGCCTTCTCCCAATTATTAAGAGAGGAAGTGATCAAGGAAAACACTTGATATTGAGTTCTCATCTCACATTCATGTATAAATGTGCATGTACGTCTGTACACCAGTATACACACATATGTAAACATACATGATACACAAAAACCACATAAGCACACATAAGAATCAAGAAAGAAAGATAATAAGAAAGATGATGACCTGTCTTGGTAAGAGTGGGGTGTTGAAGTCTCCCACTATTAATGTGTGAGGTTCCATGTGTAAATTAAACTTTTGTAATGTTTCTTGGATGAATGTGGGTGCCCTTGCATTTGGGGCATAGATGTTCAGAATTAAGAAATCATCTTGGTGGATTTTATTTTGTATTTATTTTAGTTGAAAGTTCCATTTGTTTGGAAAACCATTTTTCAGCCCTTCACACTGAGGTAATTATCTTTCTTGCTGAGGTGTGTTTTCTTTTATGCAGCAAAATTATAGATTGTGCTGTCACATCCATTTTGTTAGTCTCTTTATTGGAGAATTGAGTCCACTGATGTTGAGAAATGTTAGTGACCAATGATTATTAATTCCTGTTTTATTGTTGTTGGTAGTGTGGGTTTTTTTTATTTTTCTGTAGGACTGGATTTGTGGGTATATATTGTTTAAATTTGGTATTCTTTTAATATTTTGCTTTCTCTGTCTACATAATTAAAACTTTTGCTGGGTACATTATTCTGGGCTGATCTCTGTGGTCTCTTAGAGTCTGCAGAACATTCTCCCAGGCCCTTCTGGCTTTTAGAGTCTTTGTTGAAAATTCAGGTATAATTCTGATAGGTCTACCTTTATATGGTACTTGGCTTTTTTCTCGTATAGCTTTTAATATTCTCTCTTTTTCTGTACATGCAGTGTTTTGATTTTTATGTGGATGGAGAAATTTTTTTCGGGGTCAAACTATTTGGTGTTCTGTAAGCTCCTGTGTGTTTATCAGCATCTCTTTCTTTAGGTTGGTGAAAATTTTCTATGAAAGTCGAACTCCCAAAGATATGCCTGTCTCTGCATCCCAAAGTGCTGGGATTACAGGCGTGTGCCACCATTCATGGACTGATTGTTTTTGAAACAGGGCTTTTCTATGTAGCCTTGGCTGTCCTAGACTAACTTTGTAGATCAGTGAGTCTAGGACAGCCAAGGCTACACAGTGAAACCTTGTATTGAAAACAAACAAAAATAAACAAACAAAGACAATATAATAGCAATAAGAAAACAAAATAAGCTGTTATTGTGATTGGTTTTCCATTATATAGGACTTATGTGACTTGCAGTTTTTAATACATTTCTTTTTTTCTGCATATTTAATGTTCTAACCATGTTTTGCTGTGGGGAGTTTCTTTTTCAATCTTCTTTATGTGGTGTTTTGTTTGATTCTTGTATCTATGTTTATGTCTTTCCTTCATTTGGGAAAGTTTATTTCTATGATATTGCTGAAGATCTGATCTATAACATTTATCAGGGATTCTCTCATCTATTAATTCAATTCAAAGTTTTGGCTTTTTCATGGTATTGCTCAATTTTTTAATGTTCCTTTCTTAAAAAAATAAAAAGGTTATTTTCTTATTTCATTTAGATCCTGAGCTTTGTATCTGAGCCATGATATTCTACCTTCTGCTTGATTAATTCTACTTATAAGACTTTCACTTGAGTTTTCTAGTTGAGTCAATAGCTTTTTCAATTCCATTTTCATTTCAGCTTTGTCTTCAATGTTTTTATACCTTCATTAAATTCCGTTTTCAAATCCTGGATTTTCTTCATCATTTCCACCAGTATTATGTTTTCTTGGGCATTATTTAGGCATTATTGGATTGTCAGCTAACTTATGAAGAAAATAGAAAGTTCAGTATCATAGGTATGAGAACTCTTCTTGTATTCTTTCATCTGAATATTTTCATCAAGTGTATGCAAATAAAAGAAACAAAAACACACTAGAACCTTTTACAACTTAATATAAATCTAAAGTTTTCATGTTTCTTCTAAGCTCAGGGAAAAAAAATAAAATTACTTGTTTAGTGTCAGAACTCCAAAGTCAATATATATGCTTTATTAATTCTTTACAGATATTTTGATCATGTACCCCCAATTCCTCCCCTAACTATCCTCTCCACCTCCCATCCTGTCTCACCTAGGTTGAGATTTCTTCTTCCTTCCTTCCTCCCTCCCTCCCTCCTTCTCTCTCTCTCCTTCCTCCTTCCCTCTTTCTTTCTTTGCTTATCAGGTTCCGTTTGTATTGTCCAGATAGTCTTGGGAGTGGAACCTCTCTATCTACCAGTGTCTATATCCTTAAAGATAACTGACTTTCCTTTAACCCAGCTAGTTGGAGAGTTTCATGCCTACTTTTCTGTCTCTACACTAGGATTTTTATGGCTGGAGCTTGTTGAAACTCTAACCTATGTGATAGCAATAACTCACTCAGAAGTCATTTTGTTATGTCCACTCAGAACAATAATATAATCAGGTACTTACCCTTGGGCTTATGGCCTATAAGCATGTAAGGCACGTGTTGTTGTAATTGCTTTGGATTCATATGTCCTAGTGTCTTGTTGTGTCTTGTTCTTATAAACACTTTCGCCTTGATTTTATCAATCACAGCTGATTCATATAATCTTTCTGACCCCTTTTTTTGCAATGATCCCTGAGCCTTGTGGGGGAGTGATGCAATATATCCATTTCATTTATGGCTGAGCACTACTATATAACCTTTTTTTTCCCTACTCACTGACCAACTTTTTTGTGGGAATCTGTGAATTTACTACAAGTGGAAGCTTCTATGGTGGAGATTGAGATAATTTCTGTTCTACGTGATAACAATAAGTCATTTAGAGTCATTTTGAGATGTCCAATCAACAGAATAATATTATCAGGTACTTACCTTGGACTTATGGGCTATCTGGTTATAAGTTCAAGGCACTTTTAACAATGATTAATATGGTTTCCTTCTAATGGAGTGAGTCTCAGATCCAATCAGAGAGTTAATACATTGAGTTTTAGTTAGAGCCTTTTATTTAACTTATGCAGAGTAAAAAATATCTTCTTAATTCTACTAAAATACATTTAATTGTAGATTCCTTTGAAGCATTCATCATCTTTTCCATACGACATGAAATCCGAAGGATTGATCTGCATAAAGGAGACTACAGCCTACTTGTTCCTGGTCTGAGAAACACCATAGCACTTGATTTTCACTTCAATCAAAGTTTACTTTATTGGACGGATGTTGTGGAGGACAGAATATACAGGGGAAAACTTTCAGAGAGTGGAGGTATGTGTATTCCAGTTTTACTGAGTGATGAAGTTAGTTTTGAATAACAATATATAGTATCAGAAAAGATTTTGATTAAATTTCGTTGTGAGTTCTCTCTGTATGTGTAAAAACAGAAGACTACATACATAGATGAAGATTATAGGGGAGAAAAGTGCTCAGGACCAGGCTACTAATCTCTTGTTTTATGTTGAAATTTTCAGAACATTGTGGAGGAGAAAATTTGTAGGAAAAGAAAAGATTGATTTCTACATACTAGTAATTTTATCTTGGAGTTAATATTGCTATTTTTATTTGATTAACACATATAAACATAATTTAACAAAATAATTTTTTCAAATATATGAACTGTATTTTGTCATAATTAAACTTATTCCATTTATTTAATGAACAACATGTATTGTTTTAGATAATGCTGTGTAATGCTTCTCTTATAAATGTTGCATTTTTGTGACTTTGCACTTTTTACTGCTATCAAACTAATTTATTTTGAAATCGCCATTGCAATTTCAAAATTAGTATTGTTAAACACAATATACTTAAAGTATAAAAATGTCTCCTACGTCTTATGTTCATGTACTAAATAAAAACTGTGACCAGAGAACAGGTCTGTTAACTATTTAAAATTTATAATGGAAACTGCTGACAGTGTCATGAAGTATAGCATTAGAGGACTATAAACCTGATTGGGATATTTGTCTGTCTGTTTGCTTGCTTGCTTGTGTACTTGCTTGTTTTTAGTTTTGAGAACAAAAAACAAAACAAACAAACAAACAAAAACTTCCGCAGTAGACAAATAAATTTGGCAGGTATTTCCCAACTACTGATTTTTACACAGCCCATGCTAACAACTTACCTACTTAACTGTGTCTTTCTGACCTGCTACACATCCATGGCCCAGGGAAGGGAATGAGTGTGACTTAGGGTTTATATCTGGTGGGGTTATATCTGAAAATGGCGAGGTTATCTATGATGTTTAACCAAAGACAGAAAGTAGGAGTGGTTAATATAAGAATGCATACTGATCCCAGTATACTTTTTCTCTTTACATCCCCACTTGAAGGCCAGACTTTTAATCAAATTGTCCCATTTTCCTCACCATAATCTATTGTTTTAATGTCTCGTGTTCTGCCAGGAAAGCCCCAAACAAGAAGTAGCTGCTTTGTAACCTCATACTGCTATCACGTCAGTGTTTTGCAAAGTCTGGAAGGGTTTGTGAGCATAAAAACTTCTGGTAAGGAAGATCAGGTTCTACAAATATTGGAATCAGTTTTCTCTGTTAAGCTTCATTTTTCTCCTAGGACCTTCAAAACTGAGGCGTTTGGGTTGTGATTACAAGTGCGCTTATTCTCTGTACCTTCTCTGAATAGTGGTACAGGTCGGCTTCCTTTTTTTTTCCACAGGTGTCAGTGCCATAGAAGTGGTTGTGGAACATGGCTTGGCAACTCCAGAAGGCCTGACAGTTGACTGGATAGCAGGTAACATATACTGGATAGACAGCAATCTGGACCAAATTGAAGTGTCTAAACTCGATGGTTCTCTGCGAGCTACACTGATAGCAGGAGCCATGGAGCACCCCAGGGCCATCGCACTGGACCCAAGATACGGGTAAGAAGCTTTTACCTTTTACAGTTTCTCCTTCTCCTAGAAATGCTCCCTCAATTTACTACTCTAACTGAAGAGATACAATGCTCGCTTTACACATTCTTATATTTACGTCTCTGTACCTGTGTGTGCCAGCAGAGGAGCATAGCAGCAATCGTGAGCACATTAGCAAAGGTTTGGTTATAGAGTTCCTTACTCAGATATTTTCTGAAGCAGAATATATCTTCCTATTAAAGATGGGCAGGAAGTACTATTGGAAGGAATTGCAGCTCTTTTCCAAAGCAGTTATTTAATGAATTTCTCTTCGCTCTGCCCCAGAGATGCTGTAATTTTTTCTAATGGCTATAAACCCCGGGGGCAGTCTTTGTTCTGAACAGTCACAGATGTTAACCACCTCTCCCTTTATTTATTTTGTGTGTTCTTAGAGTCAATTGAAAAGAAAATTGAAATAGGCTTAAAGGAATCTAGCAGTGAGATGCTGAGTACTGGGAAGTTTTGAGAGAAAAAAAAGACCTGATTCTGGAAAACAATGTTAAATGTTCAGTGACTTGGGCTGATGACTGGCTTGTCCCTTGTATGTTCATTTTTTAAGCAACAGAAGAAAAACACCAGACTTAGACTCCATGAGTTCTAATTCCTGCCCAGTCACTTGCTTTCTGGAAAAGCCAAAGTGTGGCCTCTTCAACTTTATCTTTTTAATACCAGGGATTATTATGTGTGGGAAGGAAATATTCATCCAACATGAGGGAACACTTCTGAATTCTGTGAATTATTTATTTGGTAAGGAGCTTGTAGATTGTAGGTTTGTCTAGTCCCCAAACTATTTTTAAAGGACTATTTTTGTCTTTATATCTTAAATTCAGTGTTCAGGAATCATGAGTCAGAGCTGTGTGAGTCTAGAGGAAGCTGAATGGGTTGCAGAGGAAAAGAGCTGCCCGACCAACCCATAATTTTGTTGAGCTTCCTATCCATCTTTGGCTGCTGTTGTGTTCTGTCGCCAGGACTTAAACACCAGCAAATTGGGAGATCTTTTCCCTTTCCCCAGCTTAGACACTACATTTAAAAGGTGAACAGATTGTCTGCAGAGGAAAAATGGTGGGATCTAGAAAAGATCATCCTGAGTGAGGTATCCCAGAAGCTAAAAGATACACACGATATATACATACTTATAAGTGGATATTAGACGTATAATATAGGATAAACGTACTAAAATCTGTACACCTAAAGAAGCTAAGCAAGAAGGAGGACCCTGGGTAAAGTGATCAATCCTCACTCAGAAAGGCAAATGGGATGGACAGAAAGATAAAATGGGAAACAGGACAGGAGCCTACCACAGAGGGCCTCTGAAAGACTCTACCTAGCAGGGTAACAAAGCAGATGCTGAGACTTATAACCAAACTTTGGGCAGAGTGCAGGGAGTCTTATGAATGAAGGGGGAGATAGTGAGACTTAGAAGGGACAGGAGCTCCACAAGGAGAGCAACAGAACCAAAAACTCTGGGCCTAGTGGTCTTTTCTGAGACTGATACTCCAAGGACCATTCATGGAGATAACCTAGAACCCCTACACAGATGTAGCCCATGGCAGCTCAGTATCTAAGTGGATGCCTTAGTAATGGGAACACAGACTGTCTTTGACACAAACTCAGTGACTGGCTCTTTGATCAGCTCCCCCTGAGGGGGGAGCAAACTTACCAGGGCATAGAGGAAGACAATGCAGCCAGTCCTGATGAGACCTGATATGCTAGGATCAGATGGAAGGGGAAGAGGACTTCTATCAGTGGACTTGGAGAAGGCCATGGGAGGAGATGAGGGAAGGATGGTGGGATTGAGAGGAAATGAGAGAAGGGACTAGAGCTGGGATACAAAGTGAATAAACTAATATAATATAATAATAATTAATATAAAAAATTAAAATTAAAAAAAGAAGAGATACTTAATTAGAACACCAGCAAGAGGGTTTGTCTTCTCTGGGGCTTAAGATAGGTTTGAATCATCACAAATGCTTCATATATTGGGAAATTTCACTTGAAACTATGGATTTATGGCTCTTTTTCAAACTTGGAAGAAATGGGGTCAAGGAAAACTGAGAGGTTCCTCCCGCCTGAGATGTATTCTCTAGTCTATAATCTACCCTGCATACTTTCTTCCTTAGCTACTGTGATAGCTCCTTACCTGAAAAGATCTGTGCACTCAAATGAGGAAGGCTCTTATTTTTCAACAATTTGTTCTCCAAGTACAAGCAGATTGGTGACCTTATCACTGTGCCACACATCAAGTTTCCAGTTCAGGGTTCCCACTGTGACCCCTCTTGATAGGAATCTCCCACCTATCACTCCTGGCTAAGATGTGCAAACAATAAATCACCACAAGAAATTTTCTGCATAACAAAATGTGTGTCGTTGAATCAATATACATTTGTGGTGTGCATTCCATCATGAGGAAGAGAATGTGACCACTTCTCAAGACACAGATTGTAAGAAAGGGGCAAACAAAAACAGGAAAAGGGAAGTTTGAAGACAGTGTGTAAAAGTTAGTCACAAGTGGGTTACATAGTAATGGAAAGAGGGACTGCCTCTGACGTAATCTGATTGGCCTGCTCTTTGATCACCTCCCCCTGAGGGGGGAGCAGCCTTACCAGGCCACAGTAGAGGACAATGCAGCCACTTTTGATGAGAACTGATAGACTAAGATCACAAAGGAGAGGAGAACCTCCCCTATCAGTGGACTTGGGGAGTGGCATGCATGCAGAAAGGGGAGGGAGGGTGGGATCAGGAGGGGAGGAGGGAGGGACTTATGGGGGGATACAAAATGAATAAAATAAAATTACAAAATTAATAAAATAAAAAAAATGCAAAAAAATGTGTCTAGGGCTGGAAAGCACTTACTGCTCTATTAGAGGACTGGAATTAATAAAAGCCTGAAACTTCAGCTACAGGGGATATGATGCCATGTTATGGCACCTGTGGGCACCTGTACTTATGTGCACATACCCACAGACAGATGGGCACAGTTAAAAAATAAAATACATGTTTTATTTAAAAAAAAAAAAAAGTTAGTCAAGAGAGAGTTCATGTCCTAAACACTGTATTTACAGGAAGGCTGGGAAGCTTATTTGTATCCATTGTTGTTTTCTTGCTTTGTTTTGTTTTTGTTTGTTTTTGGCATAATATCCAACTTGAAAAGTTGTGTTTCAAGACCCAAAACACAAAGGGCACACAAACTAATTGAAAATGCCAAACAGGAGCCTGGAGGTGGTGGCGCCAAGGGAGGAGCAGTCCTGTTAGGCCACAGAGGAGGACTTTGCAGCCAGTCCTGAAGATACCTGATAAAACAGGATCAGATGAATGGGGAGGACATCTCCCCCTATCAGTGGACTTGGAAAGGGGCAGGGTGGAGCTGAGGGAGGGAGGGTGGGGTTGGGAGGGAATGAGGGAGCCGGATACAGCTGGGATACAGAGTTAATAAAATGTAACTGATAAGAAAAAAAATAAAATTAAAAAAAAAAGATTTATACTGTAAAAAAAAAAAAAGAAAGTAAAGATTGACATGAGTCAAAATATATTCAGACTCACGACTGCAAAAAAAATTAAAAAATGAAAGAAAATGCCAAACAGTATTTTAGTGGTGGAAGGGTTCCTGGGAGAGTCCAAAGCTAAAAGAGAAGTCTAGCCCATATGTAACAGAACCTGTAAAACTTCCCAAAGAGGTCCATGTGTCCCGGGACCTGTAAAAGTCCTCCAAGAGAACATGTTCTCTACCACTAAGCTTAGGTAGGATGTTGAATGTTAATTAACGTAATCATAGCATTGATGAGTTAATTAAAATTAAAAGAAATAAAGCAGGGTAAGAACATGCCTCAAACTGTTTCTGACATAAATGACAGAAGAGCAAAAGACACTAGCATTTCCTACTCTTGTAGGAGCTAATTGAAAGATTTGAGAGTATTTTTACTTCAAGTTATGAAATGGAATAGTTGGATAGTTACACAGCGAATTCATGTGACCACCTTCAAGTACAGCAATTAATTGCATGTTCATTTTAATACAGGTATTTAAATAGGGCCGGCTTTATTGGTTATTTTAGGGAAAGCTTCTGAGATTGTTTTAAATGTTAGAATTTTGTATCATAGACTGAAAACATAAGAATAAATACGTGTGTAGCATATACAAGACAAACACATACACACATACCAACTCATACACACAGCATATACACCACAAGCACACTTCTTTGTTACATGCACACATATAGTATATACAACAAGAATACACACAAATATACATTCATACTTATGCACTGGATATAAAACACAAAGTTATGCTCATATGCACAGCATTTACTACACGCATACACACACAGATAGATACTCATACACAAACACACACTCACACATACAGCACATACAAAGGGACACGCACACTCATGAGCTCATACACAAGCCAGATGCAAAGTCAACTAACCAGGAAAACCAACAATGTAAAACAAAATTACTTAAACTGTTTTTTTTTTTACTTAAACTTATTTTGTCATTGTATTGCTATATAAACAAGACACTGCCATTTATTTCTCCAAACTGTCATGAAATATGAGAAAATTTTGAGCCTGTATTGATGAGAACGCTAAAAACACTTAAACTTATTTTGACACTTTTTATCTTATGAAAATGTCTCTGGGTTAGTTGAGAAGTATGACTTGAATACATGATTTTGTATTCACCATTGCATCAAAAGCTTTCTCATGTCAAGAAAATTTACATCAAAGACTAAAGTCCACTACAGCTCTCAGAATTTAGGAAGGTGCCCATTGCTTCTTAAAATAAATGTTTACCTGTGTTCTGGCTTTGTTTATATACTGCCTTCAGGGACTCAACTTCACAGAAAAGGAAAATTAATGAGGAATGCTATAACTTTTGTTTCCAATAACAAATGAAAGGAAAGGCTTGTCACTAGTCACTTTGTTTCTTGGTGTGTCAAAGAAAACAAAAAGCAAAAGAATGTCATAAAATCAGCCCTAGGAAACATGCTTATCTCATGGAACTTCCTCAAGCCAGGAAGACTTTGTAACACCTTTTACAGATGAATAATAATAGGAGTGCTTTCACAACCTCTGTTTCCCTAGCACTGGCCTTCCTTGTATACCGTAAAACAAGTCTGATCTCACACCACATTGCTGGTGTCCAGGATTCCATTCAGTCTGTTAAGTGATAGCAATTCTAAGATGGTCGTGTGGCTCTTAAGGAAGAGCCAGATTTTTCTTTCATTTCATTTTCATTTGAACTTATTGCTGAAGGAAGATGTGAACATATGAAGCACCAAGCTTCTTCCTGGAAAATGACCGGCAGTTTTGAATGTTCTTGAACTTCACCACCCTCAGGCTAGGTTCCCAGGGGCCAGCTTGCTTCCTTCTCCATTGTTCACATTTGCTTTTCAGGGGTCCCAGGAATTGATCTCTACTGTAAGGACCACATTGACCAAAGCAGAACTAGGCAGTGTGAAAATTAATGAAGCAATTATTTCAAATTGTCCAGGAATACTCTAAATTACTCTAATTTCTATTCATTGTTAGCTTTAAAAGACAAAGATAACCTCTTTTTGGCAATTCTCTTTTTCTTTCACCTTTTTCAACTTGACCTGGCAGATTAACCTATAATGGTTTAGCTGTTCATGGTCTATTACCCACCTTAATCTGAAAACAGACTAACCCATGAATGTGGAAACTGCAGAAATGTAGACCATAGTTTTCCTTTAAAAAGCAATTGTGACTGAACCATGCTAACTCATTTTTACCATTTAAAAAAAATTAAAAAAAATAATGTTGTTATAACACTAGCTTATAAAGCTCACAAACGATTGCTGAGAATTTTATAAAACAATGATCCATGAAATCAACTGTGAATGTCAGTTGTGTTAACTGTGTTGTAGCAAGGTTAAGAACACTTTTAAGGCAAATAATTTTAGAACATATTCTTCTTTAGAAAGTGACTAAAGTTTCTCACTAAAATTGATGGAAGTTTAATATCACAGTACTCACTATAGAAGAAACACACACACACATACATACACATATACACTACTGTTTAATGACAAAATGAAGGCAAAGGTCACCCTTGTCCAAATACCACAATGTTCTATTCTATTTTTGGCTTTCTACTAGAAGCATGTTTGAAAGTTTATAGTGCTTTCAAGTGAACCCAAAGATATGACCTACAAAACAAACAAACAAAAAACCATACAACAAAAAAATAAATAGAAATAAAAAACCAAACAAACAAAAAACAGTTTTCACCATAAAGAGAATATTCTGTAGCCAAATGTGAGTAGTCATGCACAAACGTTTCATAGTAACAACAAAGAAAGCTATAAATCAAGATACTTTTCAAATATATTAGATGGCACATCAATTAGGGATGTTAATCAAGATAGGGATGCCTTGGATGCTGTCTGACAACACTCTTATTTTTGATTGGTGTAAAATTAGGTCTTTGTCAAGTTAATACATTTGTGAGTCTGTTAGGATGTTAAACTCAACACAGAAGAGGGCGAGAAATGCTTAGTGTCAGAACACAATCCAAAACTGGAGTCCTGTGAGAATTCTGAGTACTTGTGAGAAAACTCCAAGAAGACAAGATTCTTGTGACCTTGCTTTCTTAAAAACACAGAATTGTTCTTGGAGCATGTTTTCTGGCTCCCTGTCAGTGTAACAGATAGGAATGGGTTTACTTCAAATGAATGTTGTTATTCATGTGCCTTTATGGAAAAACGTTTTTGTGACATGTGGCTTGTCCTTGTGGTTGGACACCTTACTCAGATCGCACTTCTTAATGATCAGAGTATAAATTGTCTGATATTCTGAATAAAGTTGGCTTTTGCATGAGATGTTCCGCTAACCTAATTTTTAGGCTCCACTCTCCTAAGTTCACACTAAAGATAGCTAGAGATCAATTGTTAGGGTCCAGGCTGCAACATTTTATCTTCTCCAACTACTTAACTGAAGAGTGAGCCAGCCTCATAGTAATGAAGCTTTGTTCCATGTTCTATTTATGCAATATATTTTAAATTTGTACATTTTATGTAATATTTATATTAACATTATTCTACATAGTATTTTCATTTAAAATAATATCTTTAAATGATTTTCATTTTTTAAAAAGTCAAGAAAGAAGTTTTGAATGTTTTGTTTTGTACACATCCTCTAGTATATTTTAATATTTCATTCATTTTATGTTGATAAGTTTATATTTCAAAATTTTTACTAGACTACTAATCAAGCACATAAACTAAAGTTGGTTGCATGATAAACTTTGTACCTATTATTCATTATACATTGTACCTATTATTCACCTTCAATAATTATCAAAGTTGTAACCCCTGGGATGATACTGTTTATAGTTATCCTTTCCCAAATATCAAATATTTCCATGGTCAAACCAAGCAATTTGATAAATTTATTTGAAAAAAAATTGTCCCATCAGCATATCTGTGAAAATACCCAAAAGCTGTTAATGATTTAACAAAGAATGTTACTATGAACTTCTGAGGAACATACTGTTAACAAAAAAATATAAAACAACCCCTTCCCACAAAAACTCTCATCCCAAGGGTAACAAGCAACAGTTTATTCTGGAGCCAATTTGAATGACCACAGTCCCTACTCCATTTCCCAAGGTTGAAGCAGTTTGATGTAGTTTTCTAGTTTATAGAAAAAAGAAAGTCCTATCTTAAGGCAAGTTGAAAATACATTGGTGGTTTTATCAGAGATACAGACACAAACATGGGAAAGCTTTTCTACAGGTCATCAGATGATTTATGATGACATTCTCGGTGTGGGTTGATGGGAAGCTCGAGGGTCTGTGAGGATATTACCAAGGCTCTTTGTCTATTAGTTGCAAGGTACTAGTGCTGACAGAATAGGCAAGGAATGGCTCTTCTTGGAGTTATAAAACAAGTCCAGGGTATGGCAATCATCTTTGGACCTGGAACATTCCCATCTCAACAATCACTGAGTTCTAATCAGTGAATTAATGGGCAGATTCTCTACAGGAGTGTCGTTCACAATATCCTCATGATTTGATCATCAACCCCTAGGAATAAAATCCCTGAGAGTTCCCTAATGCTGCTACACCTGCTCACCAGCCCTTAGATTGCCCTGTCCCACTTCCTCTCTCCCTTTACTCTATCATTATACTTTTGAGCTCTGGCCTTTTTATGAGCCTGAGGCTGCCTCGTTCTGAGGTGCCTCTGCCACCTGATAGGGCATTCTGTAAGTAGGACACTCACCAAATACTCCTTCTTATCATAACTTTTTCTTCAAAATATTATACAAGTTGCAATTCCATCTGCATGAACTTACATGGTCTATATATTCCTATGTACTTGAAGTCACTGGGTTAGAAATTATAGCCATTTCTCTTGCAACTTTCTCCATGTGGTAGGCATGAGATAAACACTGGAAATTAAAGAGTGAAACAATGGCATTATTTCTTTTTCTTCAGGATTCTTTTCTGGACAGACTGGGATGCCAACTTCCCTCGCATTGAATCTGCCTCTATGAGTGGTGCTGGGAGAAAAACCATCTATAAAGACATGAAAACTGGGGCATGGCCTAATGGGCTAACTGTGGATCACTTTGAGAAAAGAATAGTTTGGACAGATGCCAGGTTAAAAATATTTTCATTTAATTTCTCCAACTTTAACTATAACATTATGTACCTTAATATATAGGCCTCATGTATCAAGATCAGTATTTTGTTCTGTTTTGGAAAATATTAGACATATGTCCATAGGAATACTTTAACTAATACTTTAAATATTAGATATAGGTCCGTAGTAAACACTTTACTACTTTAAATACTTTAATTTGTATAACAGTATCACTGGACTCCTTCAGTGGCCTTGATAAACTGTTTTATGTCCTTTTTCTAGGTCAGATGCTATTTATTCAGCCTTCTATGATGGAACTAACATGATAGAAATTATCCGAGGACATGAGTACCTGTCACATCCCTTTGCTGTGTCTTTGTATGGGAGTGAGGTGTACTGGACAGACTGGAGGACCAACACACTGGCCAAAGCCAACAAGTGGACAGGGCAGAATGTCAGTGTGATTCAGAAGACCAGTGCACAGCCGTTTGACCTTCAGATATACCATCCCAGTAGACAGCCACAAGGTAGGTGCTTTCACCAACCACCTGGAAACATTTCCATGTGAACTCTGTAAGTATGAACCTGTCGAAGAGATTACATAACTTAATTATAAGTATGAACCTGTCGAAGAGATTACATAACTTAATTATTTTAGGTCTCTGGCAGTGCTAGATTTTATTTAATTAGCTAAAGAGTTTACCACCTTGCCTTCAAAGTTTTCTTCCTCTAGAATTAAAGCTAATCTTAGAAATTAAAGATTTCACACTGTCTTGAAAATTTGAATCTATGACCTAACACTAACATGAAAGTGTGGGAAGATCTAAGACCTCTGAATTTGCGGCTGGAGAGACAGCCAGGTAGGGAACTCTTAGCAGGTAGGACTCTTGCAGAGAACCCAGGTCCAGCTCCAGCACCTGAAGCCCTAGCTTCAGAGTATCTGATGCTTCTCTTTCCAAAGACACTCATACTAATGCTCACATGCACACACTCACAGACTCACATGATTCAAGTAAAATAATGGCTTAACGAACGGCTTTAAAGGTCTTTGCATTTGGAACCTATTACCAGAATAAGACAGAAAACATCAAGAAATAGAGTCAACTTGTAGTCACTAGTTAGCATATTGGGAGATTGCAGGGAGCTGCGTGGTAAAGAAGGAGCATGAGTGCTATTCCTCTCTCTCCCCAGGTAGCCCACCTGGAGGTTCAATAATAATGATCCTTTGGGGTTTCTTGTTCAGTCATTGCAAGTAATTTTATCCCAAGACTTACATTTCTTTTCTTGAATACCATAGTCATTTGTCACAGCAGGAAGCAGCATATCAGCCTGTTTTCCTTCTTCCCCATTCTATGGGCAGTAACCTGTGGCATTTTTCAGTATAGAACCAAGGTCCCTTAAATATTTTACACATAATTATGAGATACAGAGAAAACATGTCTTTTTTTTTTTCTCTTTCTTTTTCTCTCATTTTTTTTTCTCTTTTCTTTTTTCTATATTGCCTCTTCTGGTGTTTGGTTCAAATGTGAAGTTTAATTCTAAATTCAGGTTATATTGTCTTGTTCTGGTGCTATATAAAACCAGCACTTTCTGGGACTTGGAAAATCCTGTGAATTCTCTTTGTCTCCAGTGCTCGGCCTTCATTCTCCCTGAACAGTACTTCTTTTACCAAATGTGCTTGTGTGTGCATTTTCTGTGCCCTCCCACTGCAGTCTGAGTGAGCCTAGTTCTCTTCACAGGCTCTTTCAGTTTGTCAGCCTCTGCTCTCTTATTGTCTGTCTCTCATTGCCTTGTCAAATTCGGCTCACAGTGGCCTGTGCTTTCCAGCCATTCTTAGTTGGCCTCACACTGGACACAGCCTGTACAAAACTATCATGTTAGAGGAAGCTCGGAGCCTAATCGTTTTGCAGTTAAAAAGACACTATTTAGTACATATACTAAATTTAAGTAAATATGAATAAGCAGGAAATCATGATTCTGACCAGCAAAATGCCATTGGTACAATGAAGAAGTTGTCTCTAAATACTTTCTTCAACCAAAGGATCAGAGCAGAGCATACATTAAATGCATCCACATGATACAATTAGTTTGATTTTAATAACTACAAAAATAACACACAGCCATACTTTTGTCTGATTTTGGAGGGACTGTGATTTTTAGGTTTAGAAAGATGAAAGATGATGAGAAATGGCTTTGTATATGCACTGTGTCAATTTTCTCTCTTAACCTGTATCTATGCAGAAACAACAGACTTCTGTACATCAGTTAAGGGTTTTTAAACTCACTGAATGAGAAGAAATGATACTGTGACAATTTTAGGTTTTAATATATGGAAAGGGAGTTGTGATTTGTTTGGTTTGAAAAGGTTGTTTTTAGCCAGTTTACTTAAAAATTATTTACATGTGACTTCTCTTACTTGCATGCAATGGGAAATATTTTACTGTGTGAATCTAATTTAAATAGTCTCCAGGACTTGGGGAAATAAAGTTTTTATTAGGCAATGTCAACTGGCTATTTGCTAAATGAAACTGAGCTCATTTTGAGTGACCAGAACATGTTCTACTGAACATGCCTCCACTTGTGAGGACCACAGTGTCTAGTAATCTCCATCTGCCCTGTCCATCTGGTTCAGCGAAACAACACTTCCCTCCTGGAGGAAGAGGACACAGAGTATAGCCACTATTTTGCTATGATCAGGATGGAATTACAATGATCTGGTGAGAGAGGTTCAGCATGCTCAAAGGAAAACAATGATTCATTGTTTCTACTGAATAACCCTATGAACATCACAACAGGGTCATGTTTTTTAAAACATGTGACACAAATTGTCATATTTCCTTAGAAGCAAGCACCTACTATTTTTACAATTTTCCGGTTCAGCTACTAGACTTGCAAGTTTTGGAAACCTATTTGAGTTCCTTTTGACTCAATGATATTTCACTGTTACATGAGAGTAGGAAGAAACAAGCTAAAGTCTAGTTGGGCATGCTGGCTTACGCCTTTGAAAAATTCAGGATACTGTTTCAAATGCCAGTGCTTTCATAACGTTTGCTCAGTATGCTGATTTTAATGTTAGTGCTTTCAGAAACATGACTCAAAATATCCTGCTGTCGAGGCACTCTATACCTAGTCATGTTGATGCATATACATAAATAACAATTGTTTAGCGAAGTCAAGAGATGACTCATATAAAGACACATATTGTACAAGATGCACTTTACAACTTTGAATCAGCCTACAGTCCACACTTTTATTAAACATAATTTATTGGATAAACTGGGAAAAATTAAAGTAAAAACAAATAGTCAAGAAGACTTTATACCAGAGCTAGAGCTTCCAATCGGTTGATTATACTTGAAGTCAAGAACTTGGATAAGAGCACAGGAACTCCACAAGAAGAGCAACAGAAGCAAAAATTCTGAGCAAAGGGGTCTTTCCTGAGACTGATACTCCAACCAAGGACTATGCCTGGAGATAACCTAAGACCCCTGCACAGATGTAGCCCATGGCAGTTCAGTGTCCAAGTGGTTTCCATTGTAATAGAAACAGGGACTGACTCTGACATGAACTGATTGGCCTGTTCTTTAATTACCTCCCCCTGAGGGGGAAGCAGCAATACCTGGCCACAGAAGAAGACAATGCAGCCACTCCTGATGAGACCTAATTGACTAGGATCAGAAGGAAGGAAAAGAAGTCCTCCCCTATCAGTGGACTTGGGGAGGGGCATGCATGCAGAGGGTGGAGGAAGGGAGGGATTGGGAAGGGAGGAGGGAGGGAACCACAGGGGGGATACAAAGTGAATAAAGTGTAATTAATAAAGAATAAAAAAAAAAAGAAGCTTTCTAAAGAACATTTCAGAACATGAGAGAAAGGCAAGCACAGAGCGTAGGAGAAACTTTCACACAAGGTAACTAGTAATGTGCCCGGTCCAAAGCAGGTTGGTTAGGACAGTGCACTTACAGCTTTCTTTCCTTTGGATATGTGACAAACAAATTAATTAAATCACCAACCTGTTTACTGGGTTTTGTTGCCTGCAGAAAGTCAACAAAATCTTCAGAGAAAGAGTGAGGATGTTTTCGATAGATAGAGAAAATTGATAATTGTAAATATATGATAGAGCAAGGATAGGTCTCCTTATTGCCCTGATTGGAAACCTTTCTTGAATTTTGATTCACACAGTATCATACTTCTTCATTTGTTCAGCATTTCCCAATTTCCAGACCTGTTCTCCTGTAAATATAATTTTGTAATCTGAATAAAACCTGCTTTAAAGAGCTTAATCATCTGACGATAAAGACAGTATTATTTTTCAAGAGATTTATTTGCAAAGAGTAGATGCTGATATTTTGATCTTGAATTGGCAGAGATGCCAATGTTTTAAAAATAATATCAGTATGGCATTGCCCTTAGAGAAACATGTGAAATACAGAAGAAAGAAAACAATAAAACAACGGGGAATACACCGAGGAGTTTCCTCATAGACGAAAATCCATCACATTAAATGGATTTATAAGCACCTTCCCTATAGCAATGCTATAATCTCCTACTTTCCATAACGTGTTCAACAGATGGGGTGGGAGGTATTGTGAACCTGAATGAGCAGGAATATTTGGAAAACCTTGGCATTATGATGGTCATGTCTCCTATCATGGAATCAAATGTTAATAATTGTTACACAAAGTGAGTTTTTTTTTTTAATCCTTTCAAAGTTTACTCTTCTGTAAATGGGCAATTTATATGTATTAACTAAAATTGTCATTAAATAGATTATTAGAAATGATGCTTAGAAAGTTCTCAGAACATTTCCTAATATATGGACTGTTTTGATTTTTGAAAGTTAGTTCTTTTTATCTTTTGAGTTGTTGTTTGTTTACATTTTTGAGATAGCGTCTTATTCTGTAGTGGATGCGGCCTTGAGCTCTCCAAGCTTCTCAGATGCTGACATTACAGGGGTTAGCCACCATGTTCTGGTGTTTGGGGAGTTCATTTTGTTTATCATTTTGATGCCACTTATCCATTGTGTTTTACAAGTAGATTTACAGGCTCTTTCTCAAAAAAGTAACGGTAATATTAAGTGCTTCCAGGTAACTCAGGAAAATATTTCAATAGAAAAACTTTTCTTGAAAATATTTATAAGAAAAATATTCTTACACATCCACTCTTGACAAACAGACTAGTTGTATGGATTTTTAGAAGAAGGCTAAATGAGGCAAAAAGCAATGGCTCCTTCTCCTTCAAGGATTCTGTCATGCTAATGTAAAAATGGTTTCATTGAAATTCATGACTCTCATTGTGTTCAGAATTATAGTTGGATTTTGCTAGCCAATGAAACAAACCAGTAGGAGCAATAATGACACATATTTTATATGCATTAATACCAGTTACGTAGATACTTTTTCTTAAAATAATAATCAATATATTTTATAAATTAATAATCAATATATTTCTCTGTCAAAACAGTTATTGAAATAATTTCTCAGCTTTGTAAAATTTATGTTAAATAAATGACAAGGCTGTAACAATATAA